GCAGAGGCATAACCACCTGAAATCTGTGAAACATTTTGTATTTTTTAAAATATATATTTGTATTGATTTTAGAGAGGAAGGAAGAGGGAGAGAGAGATAGAATCATCAGTGATGAGAGAGAATCCGCAGCCTCCTGCACACTGCCCCCTCCCCACTGGGGTATCGAACCCCCAACCTGGGCATATGCCCTGACTGGGAATCGAACTGTGACCACCTGGTTCTTAGGTTGATGCTCAACTACTGACACACACTGGCCAGGCAATTTGTGAAATATTCGTGTGAAGGTGCAGGTATTCATTTCTGAGGAGAGGTCTTAGCTTTCATCAGATTCTCAAAGATAAAGAACCACTGCATTATCATTTGTGCAAAAGAAGGAAAGCAGAAATGCCTGTGGATTTGCTTATGTGCACATAGTATACTTCTGGAAGGCTACACAAAAAGACAGTCGCATTGGCTGCCTCTGGGAGATGAGGTTGGAATTGGGGAATTAGTGAGAAGAACACATTTCACTGTGTGCCTTTGGACTATTGAAATTTTGAACAATAAAAATGTACTACACTTTAGAAAAATAAGTAAAAACTTTAAAATTAAAAATTAAGCTCTGATGATCCTATTAGTCAGAAGAGATATTAAAAAGCAGATACCATTTATTCCCACCAGTTAAGTGAAACTTAAAGAGATATTAATAATATCCAGTGTTGCCCTAGCTAGTTTGGCTCAGTGGATAGGGCATCAGCCTGAGGACTGAAGGGTCCCAGGTTTGATTCAGGGCAAGGGCACATGCCCAGATTGCAGGCTCAATTCCAAGTAGGGGGTGTGCAGGAGGCAGCCAATCAATGATTTTCTCTCATTATTGATCATTGATGCTTCTTCTTCTTCTTCTTCTTCTTCTTCTTCTTCTTCTTCTTCTTCTTCTTTTAATGTTTCAATCTCCCTTTCCCTTCCTCTCTAAAATCAATAAAAATATTTAAAAAATAATATCCAGTGTTGGCAAAGATGTAAAGGACACTCTTATTCATTGTTGGTGGGAGGGCAAACTGGTACCTTTTGAATGTCAATCTGGCAGTGCCTATCAAAATAAAACAATATTCATATCTTTTAAGTATCATCTTCTTGATATCTTTACTATAAAAGTATGTACACAAGTAGACAAATATTTATATGGATGTTCATGCAATATTATGTTAATACTAGAGGGCCTGTGCAGGAAATTCGTGCATGGCGGGGGGGTGGGGGGGAAGGGAGGAGTGTCCCTTAGCCTAGCCTGCACCCTCTCCAATCTGGGATTCCTCAAGGGATATCCAACTGCCCGTTTAGGCCCGACCTAAATGAGCCTAAACAAGCACCCTCTCACAATCCAGGACTGATGGCTCGCCTGCCTGCCTTCCTGACTGCCTCTAACCACTTCTTCCTGCCAGCCTGATCATCCCCTAAACACTCCCCTGTCAGCCTGATTGATGCCTAACTCCTCCCTTGCTAGCCTGATTGCCCCTAACTGCCCTCCCCTGCCAGCCTGGTCACCCCCCTACCCAACTGCTCTCCCCTGAAGGCCTGGGTCCCCCCCCAACTGTCCTTCCCTGAAGGCCCAGTTGCCCCCAACTTCCTTCCCTTGCAGGCCTAGTCCCTCCCAACTGCCCTCCCCTTCTGGCCTGATCCGTCCCAACCACCCTCCCCAGCTGGCCATCTTGTGATAGCCATCTTATTTCTTGTTGTTGTTTTTTTCTTCTTTTAAATATATTTTATTGATTTTTTTTTACAAAGAGGAAGGGAGAGAGATAGTTAGAAACATTGATGAGAGAGAAACATTGATCAGCTTCCTCCTGCACACCCACTCCTGGGGATGTGCCCACAACAAAGGTACATGCCCCTAACCGCAATCGAAACTGGGACCCTTCAGTCCACAGGCCAATGCTCTATCCACTGAGCTAAACCAGTTTTGGCTTGCGGTGGCCATCTTGTGTTCACATGGAGGCAGACATCTTGTGTGTGGTAGAGTGACAGTCAATTTGCATATTACTCTTTTATTTATTAGATAGGATAGATATTACTCTTTTATTTATTAGATAGGATAGAGGCCTGGTGCACGGGTGGGGGCCAGCTGGTTTGCCCTGAAGAGTGTCGTGGATCAGGGTAGAGGTTCCTTTGGGGTATGGGGTGGCCTGGGCAAAAGGCCTGTGGTGGATTGCAGGCCGGCCACACACACAACCTCCCCCCCCCCCCCCCCACGATCCAAAAGCCCTGGTATCTGGGATTTATTTATCTTCTATAATTGAACTTTGTAGCCTTTAGTGGAGGCCATGGCAGGCCACAAACTTGGCTTCCTCCATCACCAGGGAAACCCAAGCCTCCTGCTCTCTCCATGGCTACAGCCATATTTGTTGGGATTTATTGATCTTCTACAATTAAAACTTTGTAGCCTTGAGTGGAGGCCAGGGCAGGCCAGGAACTTGGCTTCCTCCATCACCAGGGAAACCCAACCTTCCTGCTCGCTCTGTGGCTGCATCCATCTTGATTGGGTTAATTTGCATGCTTGCTCCTGACTGGCTGGTGGATGTGGCTTGTGGGTGTAGAAGAGGTATGGTCATTTTGCATATTACTCTTTTATTAGATAGGATAAAAAATTAGAAAATAAACTTGTTTCCATTAAGGAAATGCTTAAGTTATGGTTTAACTATACTAGGGAATACCATGCCTCCATTATAATGGACAAGGTAGATTATATGTGTGACGTGGAAGAAGTCCATGATATATTATAAGGTTACAGACTCTGTATATGTAAGCATGTTCTCTTTTTATCTTCTACTAGAGGCCCAGTGCACGAAATTTGTGCCCTCGGAGGTGGTGGGGTGTCCCTCAGCCGGGCCTGCACCCTCTCGCAGTCTGAGAGCTCTCAGGGGATGTCTGACTGCTGGGGGGGAGGCAGGAGATGCTCCCGCCACCACCACTGTGCTCACCAGCCATGAGCCAGGCTTCTGGCTGAGCAGCGCTCCCCCTGTGGGAGTGCACTGACCACCAGGGGACAGCTCCTACATTGAGTATCTGCCCCCTGGCTGTCAGTGCACATCATAGCGACCAGTCATTCCATTGTTCAGTCTATTTGGATATTAACCTTTCATTATATAGGATTTTATTTTTAAAAAATAAATTTTTATTGACTTCAGAGAGGAAGGGAGAGGAAGGGAGAGATAGAAACATCAATGATGAGAGAGAATCATGGCTGCCTTTTGCATGGCCCCCCCACCCCCACTGGGGATCGAGCCCACAATCTCCACCCCCTGGTCCATAGGTCAATGCTCAACCATTGAGCCACACTGGTAGGGCTTCCCTTTTTATTTAAAAAAAAAATGACAAAAAGCAGAAACAGGTTGTATATAGAAAACTATGTTTATGTATTTAAATACATTAAATGTATGTATAAAGCTATGTACAGTCCTAACTGGTCTGGCTCAATGGATAGAGCATCAGACTGTGGACTGAAGGGTCCCAGGTTCAATTCCAGTCAAGGGCATGTACCTTGGTTGCATGCACATCCCCAGGAGTGGGTGTGCAGGAGGCAGCTGATCAATGTTTCTCTCTCATCCATATTTCTAATTCTCTCTCCCTCTCCCTTCCTCTCTGTAAAAAAAATCAACAAAATATATATTTTTAAAAAGCTATGTACATATACTTAAAATTTATTTTTATGTGCATAGAGAAAGGTCCTGAAAGGTATTTATCACAGGCCACCTCCTCCCTGCTAACAGGCATGGGTAAGTGTGAGAAGGGAAAAGCTGAGGGAAGAAGGAAGAAAGGGAACTTGGATTCTGTGTTTCACTCGTGCATTTTTTTTTTCACAAGCATGCATTACTTTATAATAAAATAAACAGAAAAGCAGCAGCAGCACTGGCTTAGAAACTGTTCCAATTCTGACCCCAACGCTGTGATGCCTTCTTCTTGGTGCTACTTGGGACTCCTAGTGTGCCCACCCACAGAGTGCAGGAGGCTGTAGTTCTCCCCAGCTTTCCTTGGGGAAGCAGGTACCCTCTGTCCTCTCCCCCTCACCGAGTCCCTCTTTCCTCACCGCCTGGGGATCTGCATCTGCCCGGGCCCCAGAAGCAATTGAGGACTCAGGGAATGAAGGCTCAGCTCTCAGTCCACCTGGAGGGCGCGGGGAGGCCTCTGGATCCCGAGCCCTGCTTTAAGCTGTCTCTGGAGTCCTGCTGTGGCCCCCGCTGCTGACCATTCCCCTGTTCTGCCCTGTTCCAGCCACGGCTTCTCACCATGGCAGTCAAGCTCCGTCATGATGGCCCAAACCTTTTTTTAAAATATGTTTTGAGAGAGAGAGAGAGAGAGAGAGAGAGAGAGAGAGAGAGAGAGAGAGAGAGAGAGAAAGAAAGAAAGAAAGAAAGAAAGAAAGAAAGAAAGAAAGAAAGAAAGAAAGAAAGAAAGAAAGAAAGATGAGAGAGGAACATCATCGATTAGCTGCCTCTGGCACACCCCATACTGGGGATGGAGCCCACAACCTGCCATATACCCTGACCAGGAATCAAACCAGTGACCTCTTGGTTCCTGTGTCAAGTACTAAGCCACACCAGCCGGGTAGCCCAAATCTTTTTGACATTCTCACACTGCAAGTTCAACCACACTAGACAAAATGCCTCTTACTCTTTACACCCTGAGAGTTCCTACTCCAATGCCTTTGCTCTTCTCATTCCTGCTCCTTCAAACTCTTTTCCCACCCCAAACTCCAAGCTCTCCTCTCTCCTTGTCTCCACTGATTGAGGCCTTATTCTCCTATTCATCCTGCAAGTCCCTGTTCACATCACCACTTCCAGGAAGTCTCATGTTGCTTCCAGCAAGAAGGGTCCTCCTTCTCTCTCCCGAGCCTCCACTTCCATGTTGTGACTCTGTGCCAGATGTCAATGAATGTTTATTAAGCTGTATAGGTTAACACCTCCATTTTCCAGATGAGAAAACTGAGACCCCAAAAGGGACGGTGACTTACCAAGGCCACGTCCAACATGCAGGCTCCTGCTATGATGCCTCTGCTGCTTGTGCTCATGGGCCTCGTGGAAGCACTTCAGGTATGGCCATCCTCTACTGTCCCCATGCCAGCAGGAAGCTGGACATCAGCTGCTTCTGAACTCTGGAAGGAGGAGCAGAGGGAGGAGAGGATGCCTGATGCTTCCCTCGGGACTCCCTCAGCCCAGGGGACAGCCCCAGTTCTCAGCCTCGGGGAATTGGCAGTTAGCAGGTCCCATCCCCCTTCCCCTCCAGGTGTGTTTGGGGCCCTTTTACTGTCTTTCTCAGCTCAGTGGAGGGGAAAGCTGGATAGGCTCCCATACTCCTAGGGCCCAACCTCTCAGTCCTTGCTTCTCCCTCTCCCACCCCAGAGCCACCCCATCACACGACGAGGACTCTTCTCTAAAGAAAGGCCCCTGGACATGGCCCCAACCTCCTTTGACGACCAGTATGCTGGCTGTGCAGCAGCCATGACAGCTGCTCTCCCAGATCTCAACCGCACCGAGTTCCAGACCAACAAAGTGTATGCTGACAGCTGGGTGCAGGCCAGCAGCCAATGGCAGGACCGCAAAGCCTGGGGGCCAGAGTGGGGCCTCAGCCTCACCCCGATGTCCCCACCACCCCCCGGCTTCCGTGATGAGCACGGGGTGGCCCTCCTGGCCTACACAGCCAACACCCCCCTGCACAAGGAGTTCAACGCGGCCCTGAGGGAGGCGGGCCGCACCCGAGTCCACTACCTCCAACACTTCCCCTTCAAGACGTTTCACTTCCTGCTGACGGAGGCCCTGCAGCTGCTGAGCAAGGCCCAGCGTTCTCCCCAGTGCCGCCAGGTATTCCGAGGGGTACAAGGCCTGCGCTTCCAGCCAACAGGGCGTGGGGCCACCGTCCGGCTGGGGGGCTTTGCCTCGGCGTCCCTGAAGAATGCCACAGCCCAGCATTTTGGGGAGGACACCTTCTTTGGCATCTGGACCTGCCTTGGTATCCCTATTAGGGGCTACTCCTTCTTCCCCGAGGAGGAGGAGGTGCTGATCCCCCCCTTTGAGACCTTCCAGGTGATCAACAGCAGCCGACCTGCCCAGGGCCCCACCCGCATCTACCTCCGGGCCCTGGGCAAGCACAGCGTGTACAACTGCGAATACATCAAAGGTGAGAGGGGCCTGTGTGGGAGCTCCTGTGCAGAAGGGGAGCTCCCACCCCGCTTTCAGGAAATGTATACAGAAACAACAAAAAGCAACCAGCCATGAGAGGAGCACAGACTGTCCTGCACGCCCATCCCTCCCACCTCCATCCCTCCATCTAAGGGGAGACAGAACCTTCTGAGCCTGGAGGCTTCCCGTCCCTGGTGGTGTCTGAACCGGAGCTGGTCACCTGCCTGCTGGAAGGCTTAAGAGGGTTTTCTGACCACGACAGGGGGCTTTGGCCATTGAAGGGCCAAACAGCCCTGGTCAGGCTTTCTCCCGGCTGGAAGCCAGAAGGGAATTAGTTTCTAGCTACTGACACACAGATCATTGTTGCCAGAATCGACAAGAGCCCCAACCTCAGTTTCCAAAAGGAGAGTGTTTATTTGAACAGAAATCCCGTGCTGTCGTGTGTGCTGGGTGGGGGCCGGGGTGGGGGTGGGAAGACCTCATGTGGGTGCTGTGCCCCTAAGGTCCAGTTCAGGCTGTGGCAGGCCTCAGATGCTCTTCCTGTCCATCCCCCTGGGACCAGCCACAGGAGAAATCATGAGGATGGGCCCCGGTCCCTAATCTGTGAGCTACTGTGGGCTACTGGTCCCGACAGAGCAATGCCCGGGGGCTGGCAACGCCACTTTCCTAGTTAGAGGCAGACCGTCTGCTGGAAGGAGGACCACGGCTACCGTGGAAAAATGTCCTGTGTGGCTTCAGTTCCCATCTCAGACAAGAGTGCATGAGTTGCCAGAGGTGAAGAAGACATGCACAGAACAGAAGCTAGCCTGAGCTTGGCTAGGATGGGCTCGGAGAGGCAGAGGAGGCTGTGGCAGGGAGACAGGGAGCAGCAGGAGTAGGTAGAGCAGACCCTGGTTTCTGAGGGCTGGCTCCCTTCCGGCCCCACTGCTCACAAATCAAGTCAAACCTCGGCTCTCACTAGATGGGTCTCACCAGAAGGAAGCAGAATTTGAGGGGAAAGTACCAGCTTTCCTAGAGCAAGTCAGGGATGGCCCACAGGGCCACTTCCCATCCTTAGAACTATTAAGGCTTTGATTTTCTGTTTCTTCTCTACAGCCATACAATGCAAGTCTAGTTCCTGCCATCTGGAAAACTCAGGTAGGACTGCAGGCCTGTGGGACAGGGGCTCCAATGGGGGATGAGCAGGCTGCCCTGATCGCTCCTTTATAAGAAAAACCACCCTCTTCTAATTAAAAAGAAGAAGAAAAAATACAAAACACTTTACAGCAGACACCTGTGGGGATAGCTAAGCTCTCCCAGAGGAGGTAAGGGGCAGTGGTTGGGAGAGCTGACACACCTGCCTCCTCTGTGGGCCCCCCTCCCTCACAGGAGACAGCTGACCAGGCCCCAGAGAGGTCCTCTTTGCACAGAGGTGATGGAGGGCTGGGTTGATCTCACACAATCCTCCCGGGCCTTCTCCTCCCTCGCCTGGGGAACCCTCCGTCCCTGTTACTGCCCTCAGCACTCCCTCAGACCACCTTCCAAGCTGGAGGCCGGCATGAGAGACCTGGGCCGCCATCCAGGCCCTGCCCTGGCTCTTTGTGAGCAATGATTCCCTCTCCGGCCTCAGTTTCCCTATCTGTATAAAAACCCAGCTGGACTAGATGACTCCCAGGTCACTTCCAGCCATGACTTCCCTTCCCTTCGATGCCTGCTGTGCCCGGGCCCTCCTGGGCCGCCACTGCTCCCGATGGGAACGGGCTTTTCCAAGGGAAGCTTCTGGAGCAGGCCCTTCCCAGGGAAGAAACCACGGCCATCCTCCTTGGGGGCCTCTCCTCCCTCCCGCTGGGCTCTGGGAACAGTGGACACAAAGGAGCCCCAGCCCCCACTGTGTCCTCACCAGGACATAGCACCACTCAGAGCTCCAGGCACACCAGGCCATGAAGCCACACCCCAGAGCCAGCTGCGGGGACTGTCACCACCCTGTTCTACAAATGAGGGAGCGAGGGCACAGAGAAGTAAAGCAAGCAGCCCCATACCACACAGCTGGTAAGGGGTGAGGTTCAGACAGACTGACCCTGGAGCCAAACTCTGAACCACCATTCCAGGCTGGCCCCTCCTCCCCAGGCCATTTCATTTTACCCTTCACTGCACAGTAACCGACTGGAAGGAGGCAGAACAGGGAGTTTTATTGTCCTCATTATACAGAGAAGTAAGACCCAGAGATGGAAGTGACTCTCCCAAGGTGACAGAATGACTTAGTGTCAGAGGCAGGCCAGAAGCCAGGTCTCCAGCCTCCAACCTGCTTCTTTGAGGTTGTTTTTTTTGTTTGTTTGTTTGTATTTTACATATATATATATATATATATATATATATATATATAATATCAGAGAAGAATGGAGAGGGAGAGAGAGATAGAAATATCAATAAGAATCATTAATTGGCTGCCTACTGCATGTCTCGCACTGGGGATCAAGCCCACACCCTGGGCATGTGCCCTGACAGGAAATCCAACTGAGACCTCCTAGTTCGTAGGTCAGAGTTCAGCTCTTGAGCAACGGTATTCAGGCGCTTCTCTGAGTTTTCATAATGAAATTTCATGCGCTGGAAAACTTTAAGATCTCTCCCACCTCTGCCCACCAGCAGTCTCCTACCAGGGTTTGTGCAGAGAAGCCAAGGTCAGCTTCACTAGGTCTCATTCAGATCTCTGCCCTGTTTCATCCCACCCTGTGGTGCCTCCTGTGCCTCCATAAGAGGCGGGAGGACAGACCTAATAACCCCCGGTATGTCCTAGTCTCTTCATCTCTGTTTGCCTTCATCCTTAAATTTTTTTAAATTAAATTTGTTGGGATGACATTGGTTAATGAGATTTAGGTTTCAAGTGTACATTTGTCTGATACATGATCTGCATATTGCACTGCCTGCCCACCACCCAAAGTCAAATCTCCTTTCATCACCACACATTTGACCTTTGTACCCTGTACTAACCCCACTCCCTTCCCTCTGGTAACCACTTTACTCTTGTCTGTGTAGAGGAGTTTTTGTTCATTTGTTACTTTCAGTTTTAGATCCCACATATGAGTGAAATCATGGTTCTTTTTAAAAAATTTATCTTTATTGTTGAAAATATTACAGATGTCATTCTTTTTCCTCCCACTGACCCTTTCCACCCCACTCCCACCCTCCCATATGTTTTTTAAAAATATATATTTTTATTGATTTCAGAGAGGGAGAGGGAAAGATAGAAACATCAATGATGAGAGAGAATCATTCTGCCTCTTGCACACCCCCTACTGGGGATTGAGCCCACAACCTGGGCATGTGCCCTTGACTGGAATCAAACCTGGGACCTTTCTGTCCCAAGGCCAACACTCTATCCAATGAGCCAAACCAGCTAGTCTCCCCCTCACCCCCCATATGGTTCTTCACTTTTTCTGGCTGACTTAATTTGCTCAACATAATAATTCTCAAGGTCTATGCACGTTGTTGCAAATGGCAGTATTCCATCTTTTCTTATGTATTCCATTGTATATATACTCCATATCCGCTTTATCCAATATCTATCAAAGGTCATTTTGTTTCCATGTCTTGGCTACTGTGAATAATGCTGCAGTGGAGATAAGGAAGGGTGCCTATATCTTTGTGAATAAATGTTTTCAAAATTTTCAGGTAAATACTCAAAATAGGGGTTGCTGGGTCATGTGGTAACTCTATTCCTAATTTTTTTGAGGAGCTTCCATACTATTTTCCATAGTGGCCGCACCCATTTACATTCACACCAACAGTAAATGAGGCTTCCTTTTTCTCCACAACCTCTCCAACACTTATTCCTTGTCTTGTTGACAATAGCCGTTCTAACAGTGTGAGGTGGCATTTCGTTGTAGTTTTTATTTAATTTCCTAAAGCTACTGAAGTTGAGCACCTTTTCATACACCTGTTGGCGGTTTGTATGTCTTCTTGAGAGAGGTATCTGCTCAGGTTATCTGCCTATGTTTTAAATTAGATTGTTTGTTTGCTTGCTGTTGAGTTGTAGGATAAGAACTCCTTGTCAAAGCTGTTGTTTGCAAATATCATCTCTCAACCTCTCTAAATTCTTGCTCTTCATCTCTGTCTCCCACCGCACTGTATGCACCAGTGTTTCCAGCTCACCCTGCTTGGTTTTTGTCTTGTTTCTCTGTGTAACTTGCTTCACCCCTAAATATCTCTTTCTTCTTCTGTTTCCCTGCAGCCATGGGTCAGGGCCCTCTGTCTACAGTCTGGTTCCTTCCACTGCTACTCTGGTTCCTTGTCGGGGGAGTCTTTCCCGAGCATCCAGGCCTCCTCTGACTCATCAGACCCTGAACAGCCCTGCCTGCCACCTCTGCCCAACACGAGGACATCAGCCACATGTGTGCTTTACTCTTAAGTGTGGTCAAGATCCGCAGATACGCCACCTGCAGGGAACTGTGGGACCTTCTCTGGCAGCCTCCAGGCCCGATGGTGGAGAGAGAGAATTTTGGGCCTGAACTTTACCCAGTGCTCTAGGAGTGAGACATTGAAGAGAGGTAGGGGGACTCCAGGACAGGCAACAACTCACTCGGAGGAGGAAGAAGATTAAACTCGTTTGGCTGTGGAGGTGCTGGGAGGAAAGCACATGGCCATGGTACTTGCTGGTGTCACTCACATGCCTCACACGGACAACTGGGAAGGTCCTCTTCACTCCTCCAGGGAGCTTTCTCTGAGCGCTCTGACCCTGTGGGTTAGGGTGCTGCCTCTGTGCTCCCCCAGGTCCTGGGAGCTTCTCTACACCTCATGTCCATGTCTGTTGCCCGTGACGGAATGTGAGCTTCCTGAGGTCAGGAACTGGGACTGAGGCGAAGAGGTGGATGCCGGGAAGCATGTGAAAGTCAGAAAGGAACAAATACCTGTGAACAGCTGGTCCCTGCATTGCCCTCTCCTGGATACTGTCAAGTCCTCTGGACGTCAGGGTGGGCGAATGTGATGGACAGAACGAACCCAGAAAGAGGAGAGCAGGAAAGACAACCGAGGGCTTGCTTTAGGCCCTCTGCCGGGTCTCGGTCAATCCGTCATTTTCTTGTCAGCAATGATGTAATAATTCCTGTTTTAACCCAGGAGTCCTAGGGCTCCTGTTTCTAGAGAAACAAACCTGGATCCCCATCTCCCACCACCATGGGCCCCAAGGGTGACACAGGACATCCAGGAGGTGCCAGGCACACACTCTCTTTATGATGAATTGGAGCTTTGGGGCCACATCCTTGTGTGGCCTCCTGCTCTGGAAACTAGATCATCAGTCTGAAACCCCAAACCCCTTCCCTGAGCCCCTAGGCAGGGACAAGCTCCTATAATAACAGCCACTGAGGAAAGAAGAGAAGGCAGGCACTGCTGCAGTTCTGTTTCTCATATAACTTGTCCTCTCCCCACCGAAAACTCTTAACATTCATTAATGAAGTTCAGTTCTGTCCCTCTAGGACTGCACTTTGACCTTGAACCTTCTTAGAGTCCTTCCCCCATAGGAGTTAAGGCAGTGGCAAGCTCTAGATTTTTCTTAAGAGAACAGGATACACAGACCAGTGCTCCCTCGTGGTCTGTGAAGTCAGCAGTGCTGATCCTGAGAGAGGGTGTCCCGGGCTCCAGGGTGCAGAGGGGAGAGACTGGGTGGCTTATGTGAGGGCCAGCAACCACCTGGTCTTCCCATCCTGTGGCAGTGCTGCGGTCGCAGCAGACCCCGGATTCACAGCGCCTGCACGAGCACCAGGAGGCTCATGACCAGGGCCATGGAGAAGAAGATGCCCAGGAAGAAGCGATCCATCACGCGGGCCAGGCGTTTCCAGTCCTCGTGGCGCTGCTGGGCAGCCCGGTGGCTGCGGAAGGTGTGAGCAATGGTGGCTACATGGCGCAGCAGCTCTTCCTGATGGCACAGACACCGGGGCTCACGGCAAGGGCCTGCTGGGGGGCCGGCCCCTCTCTCTGGAGGCTGGGGGCTGCGGGGTGACTCGGGCTGTCTAGACTGCCCACAGGGCTCCCCTCGTTCTCGCACGCACAGGCCCCGTGCCAGGTATCCCAGTAGGAAAGCCCGCGCCCAGGCCGGCACTGGACGGGCACTGGGACCACAGTAATGCAAGTTCATGATAAGGATGGTGAGCGCCGTGGAGAAGGTGACCATGGTCATGGTGGCCATGTAGTACTTCCCTGCAAAAGACAGAGCGAGCCGGGGCCCAGAAGAAGAACTCAGGGGGCCTGAGCTTCCCAGCCAGCGCAGCCTAAACAGGCATCCACCATGAGGCTGTCGGGACCCTCCAAGCCCAATGGTTGAAAGAGGAAGGAGGTTGCCGAAACAGGTTTGGCTCAGTGGATATAGCGTCAGCCTGTGGACTGAAGGGTTCCAGGTTCAATTCCAATCAAGAACATGTACCTTGGTTGCTGGGGGTGTGCAGGAGGCAGCTGGTCGATGTTTCTCTCTCATCGATAATTCTATCTCTCTATCTCTCTCCCTTCCTCGCTGTAAAAAAATCAATAAAATATATTTTAAAAAATAAATAAATAAAAGAAGTATTGCCTATAATTGAAAGAAAGAAAGAAAAAAAGAAAGGAAAGAAGGAAGGAAGGAAGGAAGGAAGGAAGAAAGGAAGGAAGGAAGGAAGGAAGGAAGGAACTCAAGGGCACCTTTCTCTCAGATTTGCTTGCAGCGAGTACCGAAGGACACTGAGGAACTCAGGAACCTTATAGGGCGGGGCTGACGGAAGCCAAGGCTGTAGGCTCCACTCTGAAACTCCGCCCCATCTAAGCTGAACACGGAGACTTTTAAGGTTACCAACTCAGGAAAGCTGCGAAAATACTGAGACAAGGAAACAGATCACAAATGAAAAAAATGAAGGACAAAAAGTGACTGAATATAGAGTTCAAAACCACGCTAATAAGGTTTTTCAAGAATTTCCTAGAAAAGGCCGATAAAATAAATGAGACCTATGAGGATATGAAAAGGGATCAACTAGAAATAAAGAATACATTGTCTGAAATAAAAAATATTATACAGAATTCTAAAAACAGAATGGAAGATCGCAAGAATCAAGTCAAAGGTTTGGAACACAAAGAGCCAGAGGACACGCCTCCACAGAAGCAAGAAGACAAGAGAATCCAGAAAAGTTGAAGATAGTATAAGAAACCTCTGAGACAACTTTAAGCAAACCATCATCAGAATTATGAAGGTCCCAGAAGATGAGAGAGAGAAATATACCAAAAACATATTGAAAGAAATAATGACAGAAAACTTCCCCCACCTGGTGAAAGAAATAGACTTACAAGTCCAGGAACCCCGCAGAACCCCAAACAGAAGGAATCCAAGAGGACCACACCAAGACACATCATAGTTAAAATTCCAAGAGCAAAAGACAAAGAGAGAATATTAAAAGCAGCAAGAGCAAAGCAGGTAGTTACCAATAAAGGAGCACCCATAAAATTATCAGCTGATTTCTCAACAGAAACCATGCAGGCCAGACGGGAATGGCAAGAAATATTCAAGGTGATGAATAACAAGAACCAACAGCCAAAAATAATCTACCTAGAAAAGCTATCACTCAGAATCGAAGGCCAGATAAAGAGCTTCACAAATAAAAAAAAAAGCTAACGGAGTTCATCACTGCCAAACCAGAATTATATGAATTGCTGAAGGGGGTTCTTTAGGAAGAGGAAGAAAATAAAGATAAAAATTATGAACAATAAATATGTAACTATCAACAAGTGAATCTAAAAACCAAGGGAATTAAAAAACCTGATGAACAATATTAACTGTTGAATATAATAGAATCAGAGGTATGGAAGGGGAGTGGACTGACAATTCTCAGGGAAAAGAGGAGTGGGGGTGTGTGGGAAGAGACTGAACATAAACTGTGCACCTATGGATGAGGACAATGGGGGGTGGGGAAAGGGCAGAGGGTGGGGCAGGAACCTGGTGGAGGGGAGCAATGGAGGGGGGAAAAATGAGGAACATTTGTAATAATATGAACAATAAATATTTATTTTTAAAAAATGGATATCTGCCGAAGCCGGTTTGGCTCAGTGGTAGAGCATCGGTCTGCGGACTGAAAGGTCCCGGGTTCGATTCCGGTCAAGGGCATGTACCTTGGTTGTGGGCACATCCCCAGTAGGGGGTGTGCAAGAGGCAGCTGGTCGATGTTTCTCTCTCATTGACGTTTCTAGCTCTCTAGCTCTCTCCCTTTCTCTCTGTTAAAAATCAATAAAATATATTAAAATAAATAAATAAACACAATTTAAAAAAAGGATATCTACACTAATAAATTGAGTGTACCTCTGCTACAATCACCAGCCAATGAGAGCAAGTATGCAAATTAACCCAGCTAAGGTGGCAGCGGCCACAGAGCTGGAATGAGCAGGAGGCCTGGGTTGCCCCCAGTGATGGAGGAAGCCAAGCTTCCCATCTGTCCTGGCAGGTCCTGGCCTCAGCACAGGCTAAAAAGTTTCAATTATAGAAGATAAATAAATCCGAGATACCTGCTTCCAGATGCCCTGGCCTCTGCTCAAGGAGGCACTGAAAAAAAGAAAAAAGGAGGGGGTGGGAGCTTAGATGGCCGGCCTGAAAACGGCCATCAGCCCCTCACCCAGGCTGGCCAGGCACTTTAGTGGCACCCTCCCCCCAACACATACCCTGAAATGGCCCTCAGCCTCTCACCCAGACTGGCCTCACCCCATGGGGTGAGGGTCCCCAGTGGGGGGCTTGGCCAGCCTGCAAACAGTCATCAGCCCTTCATCCAGGCTGGCCAGGCACCTTAGTGGCACCCTCCCCCACAACACATACCCTGAAATGGCCCTCAGCCTCTCACCCAGACTGGCCTCACCCCCAACCTGATCTGTGACACCCTTTAGGGCAAACCAGCCAGCCCCCACCCATGCACCAGACTTCTATCTATACTAATAAAAGGATAATATGCTAATTAGACTGGGAGATCTTCCAGGAGACCTTCAGGACGTTTTTCTGGACAAAGCCATGGTGGCAGGGCCAAGATAGAGGTGGTTAGAGGCTAAGAGGGGAGAGCAGTTGTGGGTGATCAGGCTGGTGGGGGGCAGGACTGTTGGGGGTAAGCAGACCAGCAGGGGGCCAGTTGGGGGAAAGCAGGCCATCAGTGGGGGTCAGTTGGAGGTGATCAGGACAGCAGAGTGGGGAGCAGTTTGGAGTGAGCAGGCCAGCAGGGCGGCAGTTGTGGGCAAGCACACTGGCATGGGGGACAGTTGGGGGTGATCAGGCTTGTCAGGAGAACATTGGGGGCGAGCAGGCCAGCAGCAGGGGCAGTTGGGGTGAGCAGGATGGGAGGCAGAGTGGTTAGGGGCAACCAGGCAGGCAGGCAGGTGAGTGGTTAGGAGCCAGCAATCCCAGATTGCGAGAGGGATGTCCGATTCCGGTTTAGGCACAAACTCTGTAAACTGGCAGTAGGACATCCTTTGAGGGATCCCAGATTGGAGAGAGTGCAGGCCAGACTCAGGGACACACACCCACCTCCCCCACCATGCAAAAATTTGTGCACCGGGCCACTAGTATACAGAAGATAAAAACCTATAGAGGAGTCAGAATCCAATCTGCATTTAAATGAGATGGGAAGGCTTGAACATGTTTTCTTGTCCAAAGCTAAACCACAAAAGCAAAGTACTCAATATATTTGACTTGATATATGGAACACAAGATCCAAGGGGAGGTGAGCAGGAGCAGGATTTAGAGCACAGTCAGCATTGCAAAGACATTCAGGACACTTCTTCCTTAGGGACCAGAAAAAGAACACAAGAATGAAATTACAGTCTTAATTTGAAGGTAAAAATATGTGAGAAAGGTCTGACCATATGATATCTCCATTCTCTAGAATTAGAAGTGAGGTCACCAAAGGTGAGAGGAGCCTCAACAATACTGTTTCATATCATCTTTCCTACTGTCCTAGTCCCCTCTCTATGCTTTAGGATTGTGGGTTCATAGGACCCTTTCAGGCATTTTCTTAATTATTTCCCTACCCCCATTGTCAAGCAAAGTGCCTGCATTTAGAAAAAGGTCAATGAGTGTCAGTCAATTATGATCATGTCATATCTGATTGTAAGGACAGAGGAGAGAAGAGTCAAACATGACTGTGTTTGGGGCCTGAGACACTAGTAAGATGGGAACAGGACGAGTGGGTGAAAAGAACAAAAAGAATTGGTTTGGGAAGAGGAGGGTCCAATTTGGGATGCACTTGTTTACATCCCACCGCATGGCCCCTGCTGCTGAGAGCCACTTCTCTGTCTGAGGCTGGCCCTGAAGGGGTTCATTCCCTTCAGCCTCCAGGGACTGAACCTTCTTCTTCACTCGCCTCAGTGATCCACACACACCCTCCCAGCTCGTGGATGTCCCTGGTCCAACGTCCAGTGCAGCACGTGCTGAGTGCCCTAAGCCCCATCCCTTCCCATTGCTCCCCTCAGAAGGCACGTCCACTCCTGCACGGGTGCTACGCCCCCTTCGGGGCAGCCGGGCAGGGTCCGTGTCCTCTAATACAGCTGTAGTCCTGTCTTCGGCCCTCTGTCTCATCTTTCCTAAAGTATAGTTTAGGGTCTACAGATCACTGAATCAACAGAGACACATTATCTGGGACCACCAGGGCAATTTAGAATAATTGTGCTGTCCAGATTCTGGGACCACTGAATCAACTGGAATGCATTATCTTTAGCTTCTGAGGCAATTTAGGGTCTGTTCTGATTCCAGGACCCCTGAGTCAAGCAAAACTCATTATCTGTAGCAACTGAGACAATTTAGGATAATTGAGCCGTCCTGGCTCCCAGAAGAATGTGCTTCAGTAACCAGTGAGATCACAATCAATGGGATATTCAAACCACCATCAATGGATTGGGATAGCATACTCAAGTTCAAAAAATCAAAATATCTTTTTTATTGTTTTAGCAAGCAAATGGGCACAGAACCCAAAACAGCAGGTTAAAATATTAAACAGCAATTTTTACCCAAGCATCATTGCTACCATGCTTCAAATACAGACTGTCCTATAATCTCCTTTCCACTCATAATTTCCTAAGGACATCTTTTGAGAGAAACAATATTGGTTATTGTAATAATTTTAATGCTTGAATAATATGCATTTATTTGCACTTAAACAGATCTCCACCAGGTGGCAACCAGGTTCCTAAATTTCCACT